AGGCGTGGTTATTATCCGATTTTGACCATTTTCATTACCATCCGTCCTACGTCCGAAAGAAGTGCACATACAAAGTGTCGTTAAGATATCTCAATTTTTACTCGAGTTATCGTGTGCACAGACGGACCGCCGGACAGACAGTCACCGCTTAATCGATTTCTCTATTCATTCTGTTCACTTATGTATGTATACATTTGTCTATATCTATCTCGATTCGTTTTACCTGTTACAAACCAACCGTTATGTGAACAGAGTTATAATACCCTTGTTCACAAGTGCGCTCGGGTATAAAAAAAGCGCAAGTTTAAGTGTCAAGTGCAACAACGCGCCAGGTTAAGGGTCAAGTGTCTGTCAAATGAGATGGGTTGCCTTTACATTTGATATTGTCACATGGTAAACAAACATGGTAGGTATTACCATGTTTAACAAAAAGAAAAAAGTGGGTAAATTTTTCTATTAAAAATTGGTTGAAACGAAAGTGGTTCGGTTTACGGTTCGGATCAAACATTTGTGGAAAACTTCGATTCGGTCAATGGTTAAGTTAATTAATAGAAAAAAGCGGTTTTCCGGTTCAAACCCGGTTCCCATCTCTGGTTTGTTGTAATTCATACTGCCATTGTGCGTACAATTTGTTGCATAGTGTATTTTTTTACTTATATACGGCTAACACCTTATTAAATTCGCCTTGCGTACGCATTTCTTCTAGTATTTTGCCTGATGCATAAAATGTTTAAAATTTGCTTTGAAAGGCTTCCAAGAAAAGGAAAATCTATAGCTTTCTCCCAAAGTAACATCGTCAAAACTTTTGTTTTCTGATTTCTTCAAATAAATCTGTAGTTCCGCATTGGTGTCTTCAAAAACTCTTTCTGCAGATTCATCTATTGTACCTTTGAATTCGTCTAAAGTACATACACTAAATAAGTTAAACAGTAGTACATAGTTTACGATTTTATTTTGTTTGAAATGACACATACATACATACATATCGAGTCCTAACCGCCAAAAAGATATAAGCGACATTTTTTCAAAATTTTAATTTTGATGCAGAAATCCATCTAGACGCTCTAGTCAATTTTTTTTATCAAAAAAAAATCGCTTACATCTTTTTCGCGCTTAAGGCCGGTCTACATAGAACTTTGGCGTTGGCTTCGGCGTTGGCGTTGGCGTTGGTTTGACAGAACGCACGCATGCTTGCTACAATGAACGCTTGGCAGCGAATACTTGGACCACTAAATTAAAATACTAACGACAGATAATAATATTTCATATCTTGATTAAAAAGGAAAAATATTTCACATTAATAAAAGTTCTATATGGACAGGCCTTTAGGGTTCGATATGTGAAAACTACGTGATTGACGGAAAATCTAACTCAAGCACGCTCACGCCAGCAAAAATTTCAGTCATGCACGATCACAGAAGTTACGTGATTTTCCTCTCAAAACCGCTCACGTGTGAAAAAGTACGACACGACGTGTCACGTAGAAAATCATGTGTTTTGCTCATATCTAGTCCGAAGTAGGCTTTTTTCGTAGTCTGGTTGAAACTGCATGCAAAAACTTTTAAATTGTATTTCCTGGTTCCCTAATTTTTATTTAATTTAATTTTTAAAATACTTATTGCTAAAAGGCCAACAGCATAACGCTAAGTCCTACTCGGTAGCAGATCTTTCAAAAGCAGATCTGTCAAAAGACAGTAACGAGCTTTCAATATAATTGCCAGAATTGGCAATTGTCTTACAAAAGACTTTTGTCTTTCGAAAGGCTGGTGAGTTGAAAGACAACTGGCACAATTTCCCTGTTATACTGATTTGACAATAGGTTTGTTCATCGAAAATCCAGCAAGAATTATCCAACACTCAAAATATCAGAGAGTAAAAACAAAATCTATCAAATTCTCTCTCATTTTGAGAAACTTGCAAATTTCTGCACGAACGCAAATTTGCAGGAATTTGCAAGTTTCTCTGCCAGCTGGTGTCCACGGTTGCATTTCAAACATAATCAGCCCTATTCTGCATTTCGATTACGTTCCCGCATTCCGCTCCGCAAGAATCGAACTTAAGGCCCGTTTACATACAACTTTGGCGTTGCGTTGGCGTTGGCGTTGGTTTGACAGAACGCACGTTAAAAGTATGCTTGCTACAATGAACGCTTGGCGGCGAATCCTTGGGCCACTAAATTAACATATTAACGACAGATAAATTAATATTTCATATCAATAATTGCATTAAAAACGATATTTCTTGCCCGCACTTGATTAAAAAGGAAAAATATTTCACATAATTTTATTTATTCGCAACAGCTGACGAGCGACGCACGCGAAAAGTTGAGAGTTGGCCATCTTTTTGCTTTGTGTTGGCGTGAGCGTTGTCGAATTTTGGCTATGTGGACGGCTGCATTTGAATTCATGTATTCATAGTCAGCTGTTGAAGCGACGCCAACGCCAACGCAACGCCAAAGTTCTATGTAAACGGGCCTTTAGGTATTCTGCGTTACGATCGAATCGAAAGAGGAAGAGGAAGAGAGAAAACATCTTTCGAAATCAGCTGTTTGCCTAGGATTGTGTGAAATCGAAACAAAACAAAATAAATATTTGCCACCAAACTATAGCAGCTTATGAAGTTAAAGTTTTTAAAATAAAATAAAATATATTATATATATATTTTAAAATATTTTAAAATAACTAAATATATGTAACATCATTGTAATTTAAAAATAAAATTTCGTTTGTGCTTTTTTAAGTGGAAACATAATTATAAAACTGAAATCCATAGCCGCGACGTTATCGCTTTAAGAGGATAACGAGTCCCAGATTGCTGATTCGGAAATTGAAAGGCGGGGATTTAGGGGCATGTTTGATCTTTCTCAGATGAGTATATAGTCATAAGTTCATCATGAACTGTATTACTCATCGCTCAAAGCCAGTGAAATTGTAAACGTTGTTTTAGCACTCCACAACATTTGCATTTACTACGGAGTGCAAGATTTGAACGCAAATGAATTCCATTTTGAACGCCGTCAGGAGGAGGGGAAGAACAAAGGTATCCACACACCTATGCGATTCTGTCGGTGCGAATCTGTTCCGTCAAAAATTACAACAATGCCGACCATAGTTTTAAATGAGGAACCACACACATATGATTTTGCTGCAGCGATTTATTCGAACATGCACAGTTCTTCTTTTCGTCGTGCCGAAATCGCAGACTGCCGCGTTTTGGGAACGAAAAAGGCCAATAGAGGAATTTTACAATATTAAAACAAAATTGAACGTAAGAAAACAAAACATATTTAATGTAGAAAAGTTAAGAATTTTATTTTTGTTGAAAATTGTATTTTGTTTGTCTATAAATTGACAGTTTTTGCTGCGATAAAATCGCACAGATATGTGCGTACTTGCGTTTTCGAAGCAGTAACATCTGTACCATCAAAAACGGAGCGGATTCGTTTCGACAGAATCGCGTAGGTGTGAGGATACCTTAAAGCTGCATAGCAAATTCGAATTCGACAACATACGCACCCCTTTTTAAAAAGTTAGCAAAAACGAGTGCAATAATAAAAGCACCTTTTTTATGTAACTTCACATTTTATGTATGTATGTATGTATGTATGTACATACTTCTATTAATTTTATATACAAAGAATAAATTGTATTCAGTGCATTTCACAGCCTTATTTATAGATAATTAAAACAAAAACGCAAACCTTTCTTAAAGTTCTGAAAGATAGTGACGCTTCTTCAATATTGAAGACGAAAAGAGCAATAGCTTCAAATTTGATTGAAGCACGGTTAGCCTATAGGTTTGTTCGTCGAGCAAAAAATTTGTACGAATTATCACGAATTTTGCCCAAATCGCGTTCGTGCAGACCAAAAAATTATCCTCAAAAATTGTGAGAGCAAAGTGACAGTTCTCTTGGAGAGAAGTTGCAAATTCTTGCTGGAAAAAATTTTGCCAGCAAGAATTTGCAAACACGATAAACATGTGGTTGTCGCGCATGGTTGCATTTTTGTCTACAATAATTTGAATAAATTAGTTCGCTAAATTTAAAAATGTATAAACATGAGCAATTTTTGATGAAAAAAGGAAGTAAATAATTGTTGATATAATTAATTTAGTTAATTCCAATGATTTGAACTTAATTCGGCTGAAAAAAATGGTATTCGCAATCGGAATGCAATTGCAACCAGAGTCGATTTAAGAAACCCGACAGCTAGTACGATGAAGAAATTGAAATGTATGTTAAAGAAAGTCAGAACAACAAGAAATTCTTGCTGGATTTTCGACGAACAAACCTTATATCAACGCAAACTACAGCTTCTTGTCGGAAATAATTTGAGAATTTTAAGGTAATATCTGGTGTGCTAAGTAGCCAAATGGCCGCAAGTGACAGACGTTAAGCAGGGATCGCACGACATTACATTTGTACTGATTTGTACATTTTGCCAGTTACAGAGTGGTGTTGTCTGGAAATTATTTTATTAAGCTGAACTTATATTCGGATTTTGGACATTCTAACATTCTGTTTTAACTGTGCGTACAGTCTACCACGTTTTTGCAAAATTGAACCTAAGGGCTTTTTGAGTGGTACCGCGTGTGTAAAATTAAAACTATCTTGTATAAATTGACCTTAATAACCAGCATAATAAGGAATAGCTGCATACTTTTCCTTGATTTCGGTAAGTGATTTTGGTTAATTACTACATCTTTGAAATAAAGTGAAGTGTACTCAAATTCTTCAAGTTGGATGCTAAAAGGAAAAAAAGCTGCGTCTGGTGACACAAACTAGAATAAAGGCCAAAATGGCGTCGCTGACTCGTGAGTCAGTGGCGG